TGTTTTTTTTTTTTAATAAATGTATTTATTTCAGTTTTAGATTGCATTACATCATTTATATACGTTCTACATGTAAGTATAACCGTTTACAGAGTCTCACAACATCTTATTTGACCGTTTACCTCTTCTTTAACCATTTATAAAACATTTCCCACCTATTAGAAAATATCGTTGTATCTTTGTACTGTAGTATTGTGGTCAACTTATCTATTTCAATCACTTCCTGTATTTTGGAAATCAAGTCTTTTTTTAACGGTATCCCCCCTTGTTTCCAATTCTTGGCAAATAGGATGCGTGCTGCCGTAATGATATATCCCAAAACATATTTTTCTTCCTTTTTATATTTTTCTGGCATTACATTTAACAGAAAAAATTCTGGTGTATATGGTATCTCTATTTCTAAAATATCACCCAGCATTTTGTGTACTCTATGCCAGTATCGTTGGGTCTCAGCACACCTCCACCACATATGGTAGAAAGTGCCTACATTGTTTTTACACTTCCAACAGTTCTTAGATAGCATTGGGTAACATTTTGCTAATTTGTCTGGCGACCAATGCCAGCGGTGGAACATTTTAAATACATTTTCCTTATAGGGAATAGATCTCAGATACTTTGCAGCTGTCCATATTTTAGACCAATCTTCAATAATGTAACCAAAATCTTGCATCCATGTAATCATACAGCTTTTTACCTCCTCATCTAGCTCGTAATTTACCAGGAGTAGTTTGTACAGTTTCTGTATTAATTTGTCATTCGTGGAAAGCCATAATTTGTCTAGGTCATTCTTTTCACAATAAAAACCTTTCTTTTTATCTTTATTATACCTTGTATTCAACTGCATATTTCCCCACCATGTTAATTTAATTCCTTCTTTTTCCAAAGTTTCACGGTTTTTTAAGTTTCCATTTGGGTCTAATAATATCTCATATGTTGTATTTATAGGGTTAGATAATAGGGAGGTTTCCATAAAGGCTTCAGTCGGGGATATCCATTTGGGTATTTTAACATAGTATTTATCTTTGATCTCTTGCCATATTTTATCTAGCGCCCCTCTGATCGAATGTTGATTAAATTTCGTATGGATTTTATCCTTCCCATATCCTATATAGGCGTGCCAACCCATATCTAGGTCGCATCCTTCTAGCAACAGTAGCCTTTTATTTTCCAACATGATCCAATCTTTTATCCAGGTCATTGCTGCCGCTGTATAATAGAGTTTCCAGTTGGGGATTCCCAAACCTCCCCTTTCTTTTTGATCCTGCAATACCTTCCAATTAATGCGTGCTGGTTTATTGGCCCATATAAACTTTCTACAGATCTTATCAAGTTCATTAAATATTTTAAGATTTCTCAGAACTGGGATATTCTGTGCTAGGAACAAAAATTTTGGTAGAACATTCATCTTCAGTGCTGCAATTTTTCCCATGAAGGATAGGTGTAGTTTCCCCCATGTTTCCAGGTCTTTTCTAATTTCTTTTAGTAATTTGGTATAGTTATCTTCGATTAATGTATTTGTTCTTTTAGACATGGTTATCCCCAGATATTTGACTTTAGTAACCGTACTTATATGTGTTAACTTTTCTAATTGATCGATTTGAGAGGGTGTACAATTTTTGGTTAACATATTTGTTTTCTTATAATTTATTTTTAGACCTGCTGATTGTTTTGATGTGGAGCTTGTACGCCAGACAAGAGGCTACTGTTAGGACAGGATATGGAGAAACCAGCATGGTTTCCAATTAGCAAAGGTGTCAGACAAGGGTGTATTTTATATCCCTCTCTCTTCAGTCTGTATGCAGAAAATGTCATGGGAAAGCTGGATTAGATTTTTTTAATGTTTTCCGCAATGTCAAGTTTTCTCCTGCCTGCTCTTCTAATCATCCACAAATTTCCCTGGTTTCCACAGATGATTTCTCCCTCCCAGGAGCAAAAACGCTGTTTGCCCCCTCTTGTGGTGCAGCAGGGGAATCCCCAGAAACAGGGAAATCTGATCCTGCAGAGCAACAGGGGACAAACTGCATTTTTGTGCCTGGACTGCAAAAAATCTGCAGAAACGAGGGAAAGCAGTGGAGGAATACAAATGCAGGTACGGGGAGAACCGTCCCTGGGGGAAATGTCTCAGATAAAGGTGGAGTGAAAATCAGTGGAAGGAGCATTAACAATTTGAGATATGCAGACAATACCACATGACTGGCCCCACTGCTGGACCTCCTGATGGCACCTGGTATTTTTGGCCACTGTGTGACAGAGTGTTGGATTGGATGGGCCACATTGGCCTCTCTTATGTTCTTAAAACTGAGCTGGCTTCAGCTGGGAGGGCAGGGTATAAATCTGATAAATAAAAATAAATAAATAAAACAGAGAAGACTTGAAATGACTACTGTTGAAGGTTAAAGCAGAAAGGGCCAAAGCAGGATTACAGCTGAACATCAAGAAAACAAAAGTAATGACTATTGGGGAAGTACACAGCTTCACGGTTGATCGTGGAGAAAATTAAATTGTCGAAGATTTTCTGTTCTTTGGCTGCGTCATCAACCAAAAGGGAGACTGCAAGCAAGAAATCAGGAGACTGTGACTGGGGAGGACAGCCATTGAAGGAGCTACGAAAAATTCTTAAGTGTGAGGATGTGTTACTGGCAACCAAGATCAAGTTAATTCATGCCACCGTATTCCCCATTACTATGTATGGGTGTGAAAAGTGGACAATGAAGAAACCTGACAGGAAGAAAGTGGATTCAGTTGAAATGTGGTGTTGGAGAGTTTTACAAATACCGTGGACCACCAAAAAGACAAATAGGTGGGTTCTAGATCAGATCCAATCTGTACTCTCCCTAGAAGCTAAAATGACTAAACTGAGGCTATTGAACTTCGGTCCCATCTTGAGAAGACAGGACTCACTGGGAAAGGCAATAGGGCTAGGCAAAAGTTGAAGGCAGCAGGAAAAGAGGAAGACCCAGCGTGAGATAGATTGACTCTATAAGGGAAGCCATGGACTTCAGTTTGCAAGACATGAGCAATGATGTTTTGGCAGATGTGACGAAATGGCTGCCAGGCAGAGGCAGCAGTGTATTTTAAAATGGATGCCAGGCTGGTAGTCCTTAGGAGGGGTAGGCTTGCCAAGTCCCCCCGGGGGGCAGGGAAACCCCCACCCCAGAGGTCCGTTCCCTGTTGCCAGCGGATCGGGCCCCGGGGGGAACCCCACCCCGATGTGCACGTCACCCGGAAGTGACACGACCACGCCGGGCCCGCTGGGGACCATGGTCATCCGAGGGAAAACTCTATGGTTCTTCCTCGGATGGTCTTGGCCCCGCCCCCAGCATGCCCATCGTGGTCAGCATGCGTGTGCTTTGCACGCGTGTGCTCCAGCCGCCAGCCGGGAGTCCCCCGCTGCGGCATAATTCGGACTTGGCAACCCTAAGGAGGGGGGAGGTACTCCCTGCCTACAGTTCCCAGAAGCGCTAGGGAAAAACAGCGGGAAAATATGGACACCCCACAGGGGCGGAGCCAGGGAGATAAAGGCTTTGGCTCCTGAGGGGGGAGTTTAGTCTTCAGCCTGGTCTTCAGCCTTTGGGCTCAGCGTAGATGGCAGCTTCAAGGGAGCGGACAGGTGGGGGCTCCTGTTGCCTCAAACTCCATGGCATCCAGGCCACTATAAACCGTGGTGGACAGCCAGGAGGGCAACAGGACCAGTCCGGTGAAGGGCTGGGGGGTTCTCCACAACAACAGGAGGGGGAAGCAAAACCCATCCTGAGGCCCACAACCTCCAGAGATAGTGAGGGTGTGTAGGGGACAGAGGAATGGCATTTTAAATCGTGTTTATTTTCTGCCCAGGTTGTGTTAATGTGCTCGTGTTTATTTTCTGTGCTTAACTTGTAAATAGTTAAAATAAATCTTCTTTTTGGAATTCTAAGACCTGGTGTGCCTTGACCACTTAGTCCTCCCCACTCAGCGCATTACCAGAAGCAAAAGGGAGGCCAGGGAACCCAAACGGGCCCCAATCAGAGACGTTGCCAACTCTCCAGGGGGCGCCCAAAGATTCCCCAAGGTTGGGGAATCAGCCAGAGGGGTCTCACTGTCCCTCTAGGAAGGCGGCGTCAATTCAGTGAGTGGGGGCAGCGTGTAATGAAGGGAAATAGCCCCACCAGGCAGGGTGGGAAGGCAAAAACGGGCTTGCGAGCCACAGAACGGCTGCTCAGTCTCCCAGGGCTGAGGGCGGGTCCCCGTTTTGCCACAGAGGACATTAATAGGACATTTTGGCAGACATGAATTTATAGGGTCACTGTAAGTCAGAAGCAAAACTTGATGGCACTTAACACACACACCCACACACTTTGATCAAGATGTGTGGCCCCACTGTGAGCTGGGGCAGACTGCAATGCAAATGAGGCAAAGAAGCACTTCCAGCCATGTATTAAGAGGAGTGTAAATGGTTCTTTGGGAACTGATCCTTGGAGTGAAAACGGGAGCACGGCGAGAATGTCCCCTTGGCTACGTGAAGTGGTGGTAGAAAGTGCCGTAAAATCGCAGCTGACTTACGGCGACCCCGTAGGGTTTACAAGGCAAGAGATGGAGCAGATGTGGTTTGCCATGGCCTGCCTCTGTGTTGCAACCCTTGACTTTCTTGGTGGTCTCCCATCCAAGTACTAACCAGGGCGGACCCTACTTAGCTTTTGAGATCTGATGAGATCAAGCTATCGTGAACTAGGGAAGACTGATGTTTGCAAAGCAAGCTGATGTTACAGGCATCACTGCAGGGCCTGGTTGGACAATAATGTACAACCCTAGCCTAGATCTTCAGGAAAGTTATGGAAGTATTAGATCATAGTATTTATTTTTAAAAGATTCTTCCAGGGTCCCTGTGCCTTTTAAAATAAGGGTAAGAGGTAGTTCGGCTCTGACCCAGGGCCTGAGGCTGAGCTGCCCCCTACAGGGCTGCCTTCTCACTCTTTCTCCTGGGCCTTTATCACATCCCAAATTGCTTCTGTTTCCTCCCATAGGTGAGCGTGAATGGCCTCCACTTCCTCCAGTATCGCTTCAACGTGCCACTGGTCCAGATGAACACGTTGGGAGTCTCTGGTGGCATCTTCGTGAAAACCATCGCTTTCCTGGCCAGCAATGTACGGTTATTTATTTAAAAATGTGTTTTATCTTCTGCTTTTCTCATGAACCAAAGCAGCTGAAAAGCTCTGCAGTTTTTTAAAAAAAATGTGTCAAGAGGCGTATAAATTTGCATGTAACAAGAGCAGGAAATTCAGAGTTCTGGTTCAGATAGGGTTGTCAGCTCTGGGTTGGGAAATACCTGGAGATTTTGGGGGTGGAGCCTGAGGAGGGCGGGGTTTAGGGAGGGGAGGGACTTGAATGGGGTTATAATGACATGGAGTCCACCTTCCAAAGTGGCTGTTTTCTCCGGGTCAACTGATCTCTGTCACCTGGAGATCAGTTGTGATCCCAGGAGATCTCCAGCCACCACCTGGAGGTTGGCAGCTCTAGTTTCAGAAGATTTTTTCCATGTAGTAATCAGTTCATGGAACTCACTGCTATGAAATATGTTAATTTAGGATATTTTTATGCTGCCTCTTCAGAGTCCTGCTTGAGGCAGCTTACAATTAAGACAACATGATGTAAAAACAAGCCATTGGACTTAACAGCATAAAAGATATCCATAGAGCAAAAGCAGACCATTAAAAAAAAAACTGGTAAGAATGATTTTAAAAAACCCTAATTTTTTTTAAAAAACCCTAATTTAAAAGCCTAGGGGAAAATGTGGTTTTGGCCTTTGCCTACAAGAAAGTAAAGTAGGCACCAGGCAGGCCTGGAAGGCTAATTACATGTAATCTGAAGCCGTGAAAATGAGTTTCTGCCAGTGGCACAACTTGCATTTGAGATATCATTTACTTTCTTGTTGAAACTCAAGGTGGATTACTCAACATAGGCCCCGTTGACACGGAGGATTTGCCACGGGAGAGCAACGAGTGCATAGCAGATTATCCAGGCGCGATCACACCGCAACATCTGGGAAGTGGAGCACACCCGTGGCATACTGCCGAAAATGCGGGATTAAAAACAACCTGCTTGGAGGTACTAGCAACCAGTTTGCCACGGGCTGCCTCCAGAGTCCCTTGGTGTGATCGCGCCGGCCGCGGCTTTTCCCTCCGGCCCCTTGTTGATGCGCAGGCGCAGAAGGAAGGAACCATAGTGTGCTGCCAACACGTGGGATCGCGTTATGGTGGCTCTAATTGCGGCGATGCAAAAAGCCCCGCCTCCCCCCCGCGTTATCTGGCCCTTGTGACCAGGGCCATAATCAATAGGATGAGACATCTAATATAAGCAGGGTTGCCAGCCCTGGTACAGTCCGCTAGAACAGCCATTTTCTCCAGGGGAACTGACTTCTTGTAGTCTGAAGATCTCTAGTCTGATTTTTGTAATCTGGAGATCAGACGTAGTTCCTGGAGATCTCCAGGTGCTACCTGGGGTTTGGCAGCACTGAATATAAGGAGAGCTTGAAGGAGAGGGTGTGGCATGCATTTCCCAGCCCTGACCAGTGGTGAAATTAACACAGCTAGATCTTTGTTGATTCTTGCAGGCTCTTGATTTGTAGTGTTCTCTTTCTACTTGGCAGCCTTTTGATTCCGTCCGAAAAGGATACCCGCTGGCCCCGGTGAGTACGGGGAAATTATCAGGGATGCTTCCAAAGCTACTCTTCCTCCTCCTGAAATTCTCCCCAAGTTGTAGAGAATCAAATCACCCAGCCTATGATTCTATAAGCCCGACTTCCGACAGCTTTTGGCTTCAAGACATTTTGCATCCTTCCTTCCAATCTGTGTTACTGGTATGCCCTGATACAACCACAAGAGAGCGATCCTGATGTGACTTCACATTCGGCTCTCTTTACGAAGGCATTGCTGAAGGACCCTAACAAATAGATGAGCGCATTTGCGCAGAAGGAAAATGGCACACACAAAAATCTGACTGCAATCACACAGTTGCATCAAAATTTCCTTTTCCTTCATTCACCGAATGTCAGGGACACAGTCACGTGCACACTGGAAACAGCAAGGAGGAAAGATGCAAGTGAACGAGAAAAGCTGCACCCGTCTACCAGTTCTGAAGTGAACTTGAGACATTCTCCTAATGTTCTGGAGTTCGGGAGGACTGAGAGGAGATGTACAAAGCAGCTTGTAAAAAAAGAAGGAACAGAATGGGGTACAGGAAGATAGCACGCTGGTTAATGGGGGGGGCACCTCAGCTCTGAACTCTATCTCAGCCTCTCGGCTCATCCATCTGCCATATTATCTCCTGTGTCCCAGTATCAGAATTTCCCCTTTCCAAGACAGTGCTGGTAATTCTAATCCCACCATTTTCTCTCTTGTCTGCAGCTTCTGCATCTAAACAACCCTGGTCTGGTGAGTCTAAATACGTCTGTTCCCTTTTTCTCCACCTGCTGGTGTTGATGCTAATAATACTAATTAATGCTTATCGTATGGCAGTGGGTGTAGTATACCCAGGGGATCTGAAGACTGCCTGGCAGCCTGCAACTCTGGCTGTTTTTGTGGTGAGCTAGGTTTGTTTTTTGGGCTGAGAGAACTGTGACTGACCCAAGGTCACCCAGCTGGCTTCATGTGGAGGAGTGGGGAATCGAACCCGGTTCTCCAGATTAGATGCTGCTGCTAACTCTCCCCTCCTTCTCCAATTTTCCCTTCAGACTGTACCTCTGACCCGCCAGCTCCCCCAGGCCCTCAGGCCTGGAGATGTGATCGCAGTGCGAGGGCTGGTGCGTCAGGATCCAAAGGAGTAAGTTTGCTTCCTTTCCACTTTTGCCCTTTTTGTTCACTCTTTAAAAAAAAAAAAAAATCTGAGGAAAGCACATAACTAGAAGCAGATGGATCAGACAGGAAAGTTATGACTTAATATGGTTTGCTTTGTTATAGCGTGTTTGTAGTGGAGCTATGGGTAAGGACCTAAGGTATGGGTAAGAGCTCTGCTGGATCAGACCCGTTCCTCTGGAAGGCCAACAACAGGGCACAGAGGCTAAGGCCTTCCCCTCATGTTACCTCCCGGCACTGGGATCCAGAGGCTCACTGCCTCTGAACATGGAGGTTTCGTTTAGTCACCATGGCTAGCAGGGCTTTTTTTGTAGAAAAAGCCCAGCAGGAACTCATTAGCATAGTAGGCCACACCCAACAGCAGAAACATATTAGCATATTAGGCCACACCCCAGACAGAGCAACTCATTAGCACATTAGGCCACACCCCCACATTACCAGAAGTGTGGTCATCCAGCCACACCCACCTTTTGCTTCTTATTCTGTTTACCTTGTTTGTTGTCAAAACCCAGGGCCTTTTTTTGTAGCAGGAACTTTTTTGCATGTTAGGCTACACACCCCTAATGTAGCCAATCCTAATGAGTTTCTGCTGTTGGGTGTGGCCTGTTATGCTAATGAGTTCCTGCTGGGCGTGGCCAACACAGGAGCCAGCCGGAACTCCGTTCCTGTGTATTCCTGCCCAAAAATAGCCCTGATGGCTAGTATCTTCCATTAATCTATTTAATCCCCTTTGAAAGTTGTCTGTGCCTGCGGCCATTACCTGGAGGGTGGAGAGGGGGCCGTGGCTCAGTGGTAGAGCATCTGCTTGGCATGCAGAAAGTCCCAGGTTCAATTCCCAGTACCTCCGGTTTAAAAAGATACTAGTTGTTATGAAAAACCTGAGACCCAGGAGAGCCGCTGCCAGTCTGACCAGATAAGGCTGACCCTGATGGACCAAGGGCCTGATTCGGTATAAGGCTGCTTCGTGTGTGTTCATGTGTCCGACAGCTGCAGTTTCAGCAGCACTGAAACATCGACTGTTATCCAGAAAGGAATCCGAAGTCTACTTGTTTCTCTCCCCACCCCCTTTTCTCTGTTAAAAAATAACTTCTTGTTTTCCTGGGACTCGCACATATATTTGCATGCAATCTATTTTCTGTACCTCAGGGTGGTTACGGTGGTTCCTTGTGAGGGGAATTCTGCATGTCCTCTTGTGAAACCATCCTCGTGGAGAAGGGCTGTGGCTCAGTGGTAGAGTTGCTTGCTTTGTAGGCATGAGGCTAAGATGGCCAATGCCAGGCTGGGAAATTAAGAACATAAGAGCCCTGCTTGATCAGACTAGTGGTGCATCTAGTCCAGCAACCTGTCTCACACAGTGGCCTCAACCAGTTTCTCTGGAGGGCCAACAATAGGGCAGAGAGGCCAGGGCCTTCCCCTGATCTTGCCTCCTGGCACTGGGAGTCAGAGGCTGACTGCCTCTAAATGTGGAGGTTCCCTTTAGTCACCAGGGCTCCATAAATCTGCCTAATCTCCTTTTAAAGCTGTCTACGCCTATGGCCACCACTACAATTTCTGGCAGCGGATCTTACATTTAATCACTCACTGGCGTGATTCCTGGAGGTTTGAGAAGTGGAGACTGAGGAGGGACCTCAGCGGGGTGTCATGCCATAGAGTGCACTCTCCCAAACACCCGTTTTCTCTAGGGAACTGGTCTCTGTGGTCTGGAGATCAGTTGTAATTCTGGGAGATTGCCAAATTTCATCTGGAGGTTGGCAACCTTGGGCTTCAGGTTTGGGCCCTGGCATCTCTAGTGATGAGCAGTCAGGGTCACCTGCTGATTTGCTTACAGAACAGGCTATGATTAGAGACATCTCTGGTTCAGATCTCTTTGGGGGAACCTCTTCGGAAGTCTCACTTTCTATCTGCAATATGGGAATAAGTATGCCGGCCTGTGGTAAGAATTGTAACACTGAAAGCATGAGATGTACATTAGTGAGAAAGTATAAATGGGCAATTTTCTCAGTGGAGGGTGGTAAGCAGTGGGGTACCGCAGGGATCAGTACTTGGTCCACTGCTTTTTAACTTGTTCATTAATGATTTGAAGTTGGGAGTAAGCAGTGAAGTGGCTAAATTTGCGGATGATACGAAGTTGTTCAGGGTGGTGAAAACCAGTGAGGATTGTGAGGCACTCCAAAGGGATCTGTCAAGGATGGGCAAGTGGGCGTCAACATGGCAAATGGGGTTCAATGTGGCCAAGTGCAAGGTGATGCGCATTGGAGCCAAAAATCCTAAATATAAATAAACATTGATGGGGTCTGACCTGGCAGAGACTGATCAAGAGAGAGATCTTGGAGTTGTAGTAGATAACTCACAGAAAATGTCGAGACAGTGTGTGACTGCAATAAAAAAGGCTAATGCTATGCTGGGGATTATTAGGAAGGGTATTGAAAACAGATCAGCCAATATCAGTGGGAGGGCTTCTAATGTCCTGGCCCTACTGGTGGACCTCCTGATGGCATTGGTATTTCTGGCCACTGTGTGATACAGAGTGTTGGACTGGATGGGCCTTTGGCCTGATCCAACATTGGCATCTCTTATGTTCTTATGTTCTTATATCATAATGCCCCTATATAAATCAATGGTGTGACCTCATTTGGAATACTGTGTGCAGTTCTGGTCACCACACCTTAAAAAGGATATTCTAGCTTTGGAAAAAGTGCAGAAAAGGGCAACTCGAATGATAAAAGTGTTGGAACACTTTCCCTATGAGGAAAGGTTAAAGCTCTTAGGGCTCTTTAGCTTGGAGAAACGACGACTGAGGGGTGACATGATTGAGGTTTATAAGATTATGCATGGGATAGAGCAGGTAGAGAGAGAGGTACTTTTCTCCCTTTCTCACAATACAAGAACTCCTGGGCACTCAATGAAATTGCTGAGCAGTCAAGTTAGAACAGATAAAACGAAGTACTTCTTCACCCAAAGAGTGATTAACACATGGAATTCGCCGCCACAGCAAATGGTGGCAGCTACAAGCCTGGACGACTTCAAAAGGGAATTAGATAAGCATATGGAGCAGAGGTCCATCAGTGGCTATTAGCCACAAGGTATAGCTAGGGGCTCTGGGACAAGTGATGCTCTGTGTTCTTGGTGCTTGGGGGGGGGGTCAACAGTGGGAGGGCTTCTAATGTCCTGGCCCACTGGTGGACCTCCTGATGGCACCTGGTATTTCTGGCCACTGTGTGCACAGAGTGTTGGACTGGATGGGCCTTTGGCCTGATCCAACATTGGCGTCTCTTATGTTCTTATGTTCCTCTGTCCCCTTCTGTCAAGGCAGATGTACTTGGTTTCCTCCATCCCACCCTGTGTTTCAGTTACTGTTTTATGTGCTTTTAATATGTGCGTTAGTTTTGGTTTGAATTGGATTTACGGTGCCTTTTATAATGTTTTGTGTTTAATGGGGAAGGGCTGTGGCTCAGTGGCAGAGCGTCTGCTTGGCATGCAGAAGGTCCCAGGTTCAATCCCAGGCATCTCCAGTCGAAAGGACCGGGCAGTAGGTGATGGGGAAGACCTCTGCCTGAGACCCTGGAGAGCTGCCGCCGGTCTGAGTAGGGAGTACTGACCCTGGCAGATTGCGAGTCTGAGTCTGGTATCAGGCAGCTTTGTGTACTCAAGTGTTAGATGCCTCGGTGGCCCTGACTGGGCAGCAAAGGCAGCATACAAATTTTGTAAATAATAATTAGATGAACCCTGACTGTGTAACTCTGTTCCCATTATCCCTATAAACCAACTAGGTTCCACCTCAGCTTGAAGAAGGACCCCTCTCATGTCATCTTGCGCTTTAGTGTTTATTTCGTGGACCAGACAGTGATATGGAAGTCCTCTGCTGACCAAAGGCAAAACTCTGGGGAGAAACTGGTGACCTGTTTCCCCTTCTACCCACAACGATACTTCGAGGTAATGGATTCGGTTCTGTTACTCCAGCAATTTCCATACTGTGGGGTATTCGTTTGTTTACTTCCTGTATACCCGCCTTTCTCCCAATGGGGACCCAATGCAGCTTATGCCATTCTCCTCACCTCCATGTTATCCTCACAGCAACAGCCCTGTAAGGTGGGTTTTAGGGTTTCCCACCTCCAGGTGGGCCTAGAGATCTCCCAGCATCCCCACCCATCACCAGATGACAGAGGAGGAGGAGAAATATTATCATCATCGTCGTCATCATTGTTATTATTATTATACCCTGCCCTTCACTTGGAGTCTCAGAGCAGCTTACAAACTCCTTTCCCTTCCCCTCCCCACAACAGACACCCTGTGAGGTAGGTGGGGCTGAGAGAGCTCTTTCAAGGACTGCTCTTGAGAGAACAGCTCTGACAGAACTGTGACTGACCCAAGGTCACACCACCTGGCTGCATGTGGAGGAGTGGGAGTTCAAACCAGGTTCTCCAGATTAGAGTCCACGGCTCTTAACCACTAGCCCAAATTCTCAGATCCTCTGGAGAAAATGGCCGCTTTGGAAGGTAGACTGTTACGTAATGAGCCTGAACTGTACTTGCAAAAGGACTTAGCTTAGGACGCATAACAGTGGCTTGCTAGGATCCTAGAAAGGACCAGTAGGCAGACAGGGATCCTAGAGAAAACCAACTGGGAGACCATGGAGTGTAAATAGCCTGTCGTTGGGAGTGGGGTGTGTTTTGAGTGTAACCTTTTCCAGGCATAAATACCAGGCTTTGGGCCAGGGATTCCCAGTCTTCTTTCTCTTGCTGAATCACTAGTAAACCATGAGCTGATCACTTGAACGCGTCTGAACCCAGGTATATTGCATAGACTCTACGGCAGTATATACCGCTGAGCTCCATCCTGTCCTCATGCTCCATCCTCCAGTCTTCAGAAACTTCCCAACCTGGAGTGGGCAATCCTAGCAGGCTGAGACTGTGTGCCTGGCCCAAGGTCACCCAGCAAGCTTCTAAGGTAGAGCGGGGGTTAAAACCTGGGTGCTGATCTGACACTCTTAACCACTGCACCACACTGGCTACACCTTAGTGGCCTGTGAGAGAACAACGAATGTGTCCCTTGAAGTACATTCTTTAATGAAGGCTGATACGTGCAGAGGAAGCCGCCGGATGCACGTATCCTAATGTCCTGGCCCCACTGCTGGACCTCCTGATGGCACCTGGTATTTTTGGCCACTGTGTGACAGAGTGTTGGACTAGATGGGCCTTTGGCCTGATCCAACATTGGCTTCTCTTATGTTCTCTTATGTTCAGTTTAGGACGATTCCCTGTTCTGTCCCTTCAGTCAAGCTTGGCTGCTAAGGGGGTAATTTTCAGACTGTCTTCCGATGTTCTGCCCTGTGTGTGGCTGTTATTAGAAACAGGGTCTTCCCCACTGTGGTACCGCATCTCTGACCTCTTTAACTCACAGCTATTCATCTGGTGTCAAGCTTGATGAGTTCCAGATCTTGGGTGAAAATACCCTGATTTGAGTCTATGTTTTTCTGGATTGTTGCAAGGTCGCTGTTAGTATCCCTCACAAGGAGGGATGGCTTTGGTTCCAGGTGGAGCTTTGAAAGAATAGGACACCCAATGAAAATTAGTCAATCTTGTCGCCAAGCCAAAACTGCTGGGTGTATCAGTGTCCATCAGAAGTGTGTGTGTGTATGTGTGTGTGTTGAATAAGAACAGCCAGTTCAGAAGCATTACCTTCCTACCCACTTATGTTGGAAAAACTGGCAAAAATACTTAGATATTCAGAGTTTGCAATGGATCTTTGCTTCACTGGAGAGGAGGCATTTCTTTCTGTGTAAAAATATTTATTTCTAAAGGGAAGGGTACACAGGAAAAGCTACAAAATAACAGACCTAAGGCTACATCTCTACAGCTACAGAACAGACCAACCACACGGTCTCACAACAACGACTGTAATGGAGATTCTTCTTCTTCTTCTTGACCCCTAAAAGGAAATCACCTGAATACATTAACCAATGATTGTGAGTAAACAGACTTAGATTTCCCAGGCTCTGTTTTCATTGACTCTGTGCCAGGTTTCCTTCCAGGTCAGTCTAAACAATAGCACACAAGGTAATCCGATTAACCCTATAATCACTGAATTAGATTAGATTAGACGCACACATATTTCCAACAATTAATACCATTGTGTTCCCCCTCCTGGCTGCTCCAGCAGTGTCCCCCCCCCACCAAGGTCTATGAAGCAGGGTAAAAGCAACAATGATTTTAGAACAATCCCCCCTGAGCTAGGGGGAATCTCAAATGGCCACTGTTGGGTGGAGTATGAATAGGCACACCATCTCTGACATAAGAAGAGATTCCTGGAGATTTGGAAGCAGTGGCTGGGGAGGGGAGGGGAGCTCAGCAAGGACAGAATTCCACAGAACCCGCCATCTGGCACTGCCGTTTTCTCCAGGGGACATTATTATTTCTGTAGTCTGAAGATCAGGCGTAATTCCAGGAGAACTGAGGCCCCACTCAAAGTGGCTGGCAACCGGACTTCCGGTTTATGGCGGCGCGCTAGCAGACTCACCTCCCGGACCTCCCGGGGGTGAAGCTGCACTCCAGCCAAAGAAGGGGGTGTGCAGGCTCGCAACCCCCCCCGGGTCCCAGCGAAGGGACCCTGGCCATGGAACTTTTCAGAGGTGGACTCTTCGACGGCGGAATGCCGGAGAATTGAGGCGCCTCTTCGTTCCGACGGTTCTCCGTGCTGTGAGACCGAATTGACTTAGTGACGCTGACCGGGGCAAGCGCAGGAGATCGTGCGGCAGAAATGAAATGAAAGCGGGGTCGAACGACCAATTATGAACGTGAGTCAATTTCGAAGCGTTTTGTAAAGGGAAAAAGATAGCTCCCCACCCCACCCCACCGAACGGGAAAAAGACGAGCGGGGGAGGGACGCCTCCCATGCGCATGAACTTTTGAGCGATTGAGGGGGGGAGCGGAAGAAAAAGCGAAGGAAACTGCCTAGAAGTACTTACCAAAGTGAATCTAAGTGGTCAAGCATACATTCAGAGACTTTTAAAAAATTCGCGAAAGTAAACAAATTATAAAGATGGCGGGGAAGGACAGAGAAAAAGTTTTGAAAGCGAAAGGGTCTGAGAACCCGAAACCGGAAGTTACCAGTGAGGTGGCAAAGTCTATAGCAGATTACATGCGCCCTCTGCTGGAACAACTGAATAACTTCAAGGAACAGATGTCTATAGTGACTCAAAGCATTACTGCACAACAAACCCAGATAAACGATTTGATACAAATAATGAAGCAAGATGCTGAGAAGGTAAAGGAAGTGGCTGTAACTACCCAGAAGGTGAAGAAAAAAGTGCAAAAGCTGGAAAGGAAACAAATCTCCATGGAAGATCAACTGTTGCAAGTCCAAATGGAAAAGTCCAACATGATCCTTCGTTTCCAGGGCATGCCAGAGAATAGAGGGGAGAATCTTAAAGAAGTGATGAGTGAATTGCTAGCCCCAGTGACAGAAATGAAGGCGGAAGCGTTGCTGAACAATATGGATGTGGTCTATAGATCATATTCAGGCTACATAAAGAAAAATAATCTGCCTGGGGAAATTGTTGTAAGATTCTCGAAGAGGCATGTGAGGGATGCAATCCTGAAAGTGGTTGCTGGAACACCCCTGAAAGTGGGGGAAAATACCATCAGAATGCTAAAGGATATTCCATTTGAAGTAAGACAACGGAGAAAGAAGTACAAAGAACTTGTGCTTTCTCTTCAGACAAACTCAATTGGATATAAATGTTCAAGATTAAAGACAAAAAAGAAAAGATTGATTCTGTTCAGAAAGCTCAAGAATTCCTAAGGGTCCAGCTGGGAAGACCAGAGGACGGGGAAAAAAGAAGAGGACAGCAAGTCCAGTGGCGAGCTGGAAACTGACTCTTTCGGAGAGGACTCTCTGTCAGAGCAAGGGGCAGCAGCCCCAAAAAGTCCTTATAAGCTGCGGAAGAGAAGGGGAAAGGAGAAGTAAAGGCTGAAGGACTCTGAATTGTGCCTTTGAGACTTTTGATATGGGATGATCGGGGGTACTGTTTCTAGACAGTTAAATTTAAGCTTTAAAGGAAAAGTGTTATAAATGTTTGACACAGTTTATAAAGGGATGAGTGATGGGAAGACTTGATGTAACTAAGCTAGTTGGAGGATCTCCTCTCTTGGGCTTTTAGTTAGTAGTAGGTTCTTTACTTTATCCCGTATATGTAGTTTCCCCTCCCTTTTCTTCTGTTGTAGTTTTTGTAGTGTTAAAAAAATAATAAAAAATTCCCTCCGGGGGCTCAAAAAAAAAAGTGGTTGGCAACCGGAAGCAGGAACCGCTTTGGACAAGGGCAGCTGCTGTCACTGGTTTCTTTCTTCTTTCAAACTTGGGGAGTGCACATCAAGACCAGCTGTGCATCCTGTTTTCACTTGACTGTTTTCACTTCTCTTGGCTGTTGCTTTCCACTTGTCTTGTTGCTTTTCTGAGCTTCTTGCACTCTCCGTTGTCTATGGCTTGACTGCCTCCGCCACATTGGGAGGTTAATCTCCCTCTACACTGCATGCCGCTTTCACTTTCTTTGTTCATTGGGTTTTATGGTACCTTCTGCATAGATTTATGGCCATACTGACTTTGCAGTCAGTATGGCGTTGCCCTGGGGTATCTGACTGTGGCCTTGAGCAGCACCTTTTCCTCTTCCTCCCCCTCCATTTGAAGGGAACAGTAAGCAGACAACTTGACACAGCTTCATTGATCTCTGTCACTTCCCGCACCCCTATTTCCCCCTCTGTATTTATCACCTCACCATGAATTACTTGACTGCTGAGGCAAGTACTGACGTAGGAAAATCTGCATACCAGATTGAACGAAAACAGATACTCCAAGGCAAGGGGGAACCAGGTCAAGTGCTGAGAAAATGTGGAGCGAACACCAGATGCAGAATGAACCTGTGTTACAGCTGCATCTCTGCATCTGATGCAACTGATTAATGGTGTATCACCTCCCAGATGTGGATACAGAACTTTCTGCTGTTGGGAGAGGCTGCCCGTCGCTTCTTTGCATGTCACTTTTCGTGCTTCATTCTAACCAGTCTAGGAAGAAGGGGAAGAATTCGACTACATCTCTGCATTACATATGATTGCCTCATTCAATTCTTCTTGGTGCAGGGATGTCCCCAAAAGGCTTGTCTACAGAGGGAGCTGCTCATTGCTTCTCTGTGTGAGCCCTTGGTCTAGGATAGCCTAATTCCAGTGTGGAAGCAGTCCTAGCTGGAGTTACCTCCTCAAAGGCATTTTTCATGCTCTTTTAACACATAGTAGACCTTTTCCAGGTGAAATGTATTTCTGATTTTTAATTTGGAAAAAAAAAGAGAGTTATCTTTCAACTACTAGACAATGCTGCACCATCCTGACCCCTGGCCTGCTTGTGGTGTGCAGAATGAGTTGGTGCCACAAACGGGCAGCCTGGGACAGTCTTTAACCCGCAGCACCTTTTTGGTTAAATAGCTGTGACAAAAAGCATGCTAAGTCTTTAAGGCTCTTGAAGAAGAAGATGAAGAAGAAATTGGATTTATACCCCATCCTTCACTACCCGAAGGAGTCTCAGAGCGGCTTCCCTTCCCCTCCCCACCACAGACACCCTGTGAAGTAGGTAGGGCTGAGAGAGCTCTTTCGAGAACTGCCCTTTCAAGAACAGCTCTGAGAGAACCTGTGACTAACCCAAGGTCACACCAGCAGCTGCATGTGGAGGAGTGGGAAATCAAACCCGGTTCTCCCAGATTAGAGTCTGTGCACTTAACCTCTATCTATCTATCTATCTATCTATCTATCTATCTATCTATCTATCTATCTATCTATCTATCTATCTATCTATCTATCTATCTATTTTGTACCCCACCCTCCCAACAAATCAGGCTCAGGGTGGCTCACAGTCAATGCATAAATATCAATTAAAACAACATAAAATCATCTAAAACAATTCAGTTATAACTAACGCAAATTCATAAAGTGCTGGTTAATTAGTTGTTTGAGATTGCTTACTTTAAGAGTATACACAGAGGTCTGACAGTCCTTCTGCCCATGATTTTCCTGCGGCGCAGGCTAGGTGTCAAAGGCCAAGGGCCAGGGCTCTATAGTGGTGGTGGCTCCCTAGCTGAAAGCCTAGCTGAAGAGCTCCGTCTTGCAGGCCCTGCCGTTTTCTCCAGGGGACATTATTATCTCTGTAGTCTGGCTCTCTCGTTCTTGTTAGTTCTTCTGCAACACGGCTACCTCTCCGGAGCACGAACGTTTTCAAAATCCTCATGCCACCTATTTCAGTGCAAAAAATGCCCGTTACGATGTCATTGCTTTGTGTGACTCAACCCGGGGATTCTTTGTTCCCAAGCCACCTTCTGTTGACTCCCACTGCATTTTTTTCTCCTGTAGGTTTAAGTTGCAAATGAAGAACCATGCAACATGTGTACATAATGCAAACCTAAACAGTCAAGGGTGCAAACTGAAGAACTGAGAGTGCTACCAAAACATAAAAATAGGGAATGTTTGCTCTTCCCTGTTTGGAGTTTGTCGTACGCTCAGACCTATTCCGCACACTTGACTTACTCCTGATTTTCTAGACTGTTGATCTACAAGCATTGGAATCGGTTAGGGAACGGTTCTTCCATGTGTCTGCCCTCCTTGTGCATCTTCACAGTTGTGTAGTCCATTTGTTTTCTTCTTCACATGGCTTAAATAATGAGGATTTTCAAGGGAGGGTGCTGTTGTCATTGGTGGCATAACAGAACACACGCCCCTTTAAAGGCCCTAAGATATCAGTATAACAATATAGTGTTGTAGTGATAGTTTAAGTAGGTTCTCTGAATTCCCAGCTTTCATCGAAGGGAAAAACTAAGTCTTTAGTCTCTTCCCTCATGGAGATATGAAGGGAAAGGCATATTTATATGAAGGAAGACGCTGGAGACTTACTTTTTTAAAACTGAAAGTTGGGAATTCGGAAAACCTGTTTTATCATTACAACACTACAGGGATATATTGATATTTTAGAGCCATTTAAAAATAAGAACAAAACCTGAAACCACTCGTCTTCAGGGTGGCAGGGATGGGGGAGTTGTTTGATGATGACGACAGTCCAATAATTGAAAAGTGAGCTGGAGGTGGGTGGGACAACCCCCCTCCCAAACCCTGACAGAAACATTACACGCAGGGAAAAAGCCGATTCAAAATCGGCCTTCAGAAAAACATCAGGATAGAAGTGGTTTCAAAAGAACCAGGAAAAAACCCACCTGGGGAATAACTGAAAAGAAGAAGTAATAACTGAAAAAAAGAAGTGAAAAGACACAAAAATGCATGTGGAAATCAGGGGATAAACTGAAGCAAAACCCATGCGGAAAAGCCCTCAGTCGCCACAGGGGAGGTGCTGCCATTTGATACAGAGCCAGTGCAAAGAGACTGCTTAGGATTTCTGTCTTTGGCTGAGTTATCCTGTGTTGGCACTGGCTCTGTTCAGGACAGAGATCTGACGCTGCCTTATTGCAGCCTAGATTTCTGGTCCACCTCTTTCAACGACGTTCACCCTGATTGGTGGTGGATATTGATATCGATCACAGCCAGAGAAGGGTCTATCCCAATACCTGCTACTGCAGATTGTTTAATTGTAAATGCCAGGGATTGAACCTGAGACTGAGTGCAAAGCAGATGCTTGACTACTACTAGCTATGGTCCATCCCCTTGCCACTGGAATGTAGGAAAGGAAAGCAGAATTAATTAATTAATACTGCAGAATTATACTGGTTAACTCTCCCCTCCTTTTGTGCACCAGTAAACTCTGCTTATTAGAACTCCTCTTGCTCTTTCCAGCACTAGTAATTTCTTAGCATCTGTCTCCCCAGCTAACTCCATCTCTCTCCTCTTCTCCTCTCCAGCTACTCCTCCATTGCGAAAAGGACCATCTGAAACTGGCACTAAATGGGGCACCACTTGGACAGCGACGCTTCCCTTTACCGTCCGCTGAACCCATCACAGAGCTGGCAGTCGAAGGAGACGTCACACTTTACAGCATCCTGTGCTGAATTTGCCCCAGTCAGGTCCGGCTCCATTCCTGTTTTTCCAAGGCCAAAGTTGAGCTAAGTACCACTGTGTGGTTCTCCTGGCCTGTTTTTGAATGTGGCAGGGGAGAGCAGATGAGAGCAGATGTGAGCAGATGTTGGAATACATCTGTGTATGCACAAGATTCCCTGCACTTAGAAAGCTAGTGCAACAGGCAAAATGGTAGGCTGGAAACTTTACTCCTAGCTTTCCAAGGGAAGGGACTTTTGGGGCATGGGGGGAACCTTTCAATAGAACGGTGCTCTCATTCGCTCTGAAAGAGAGAATTGGGTACTTCACATGTGCTTTTCCTGCACTCCGATCACCTGTTTCTAAAGAAGCTTGGCCTTGAGCCTGTAGCACTTCGTCCATCTTCCGAGGAAAAAGCACAGCTTGTTTGTATGTTGTGACTGTAGATTATGGCCTTTTACCAAACATTAATAAACGGACAGTGGGTTTCACTTAGGTTTCCTCTGCCAGCTTTGACTGGCCAGCAAAAGAGACCTGACCAACAGGACGAGGCTGAGAGCCAAACCACATGTTACTCTTTTTTTAATGTGTTCCCTGCAACCACACTTTTGCAGTTACAGGGGGCTATGCCAAAATGGGCTTCTGCCCCCAGCGGTTTCTCACACAAAAACCTGCTGGGGGGGGGGAGTTATTTTTCACACACACACCCTGTGGTTTTTACGTGAGAAAAAATGCTTGGGGGCGGTGGAGGCAGCAGTCCTGCCCCCCCCCCGGTAGGCACTGTTCTGAGCCCATTTGGGCTCTCCTTTTTAAGAAGAAGAAAAGAAGAAAGAAGCTGTTTGGCTGCGAGGATCACGTGAAAACACACGGGGGGGGGGGGGAAGCAACGTGTAGTTCGGCTCAAAGACTTTGCTTGTATGTAGAGAAAAAGAAAAACTGCCAACCTAGCAGTTCGAAAGCAAGAAATTGCAAGTAGATAAATACTTAGGGACCACTGCGGTGGGAAGGTAACAGCGTTCCGTGCACCTTGGTGTTTAGTCACGCCGGCCACATGACCACGGAAACGTCTTCGGACAGCGCTGGCTCTTCGGCTTTGAAACGGAGATGAGCACCGTAACCCTAGAGTCGGACTCGACTGGCTTTCGAGCAAGGGAAACCTTTACCTTTACTTTTAGAGAAAAAGAGGACTGGCTCTAGCTGAAAGGACCAGCTCTGATCATACATGGAGCTGCCTTATACTGGATCAGCCCATTAGTCCGTTAAGGTCAGTACTGTCTACTCACCTGTTACCTGATCCCTTTAACCAGAGTGGCCGAGGACTGAACCTGGAACACTCTCTGCACACAAAACATATGCTCCACCACTGAGCCACAGCCCCTCCCTGATGTCCTTCCAGTATGAGGAGGGTCCTGTAGCTAGCCTCTTGGGAGGTGGACCAGGATTTGTGTTTAAGTCCCTCCTCTCTAACTACCAGGGCTATTTTTGTGCAGGAACGCACAGGAACGGAGTTCCGGCTGGCTTCAGAGCTGGCCACGCCCACTACAGCCAAAACTTCTGCGTGCCTGGCTACAGAGAGAAGGCCTGGAGAGCGACCCCACCCAGCGACTCCATGGTGCGTGGGCCAGGGGGGGCACTGGAAGGATCAGGGAGGCATTTAAATGTTCCTTCCCCGGCCTGTCCAAGGGCCGGGCACCCGGGCAAGCCAAGGGAAGGCATGGGGGTGTGGCTTAATATGCTAATGAATTGCACTGTCGGGGTGTGTCCTAATATGCTAATGAGTTCCTGCTGTTGGGTCTGGCTTATTATGCTAATGAGTTCCTGCTGGGCTTTTTCTACGAAAAAAGCCCTGCTAACTACAAATATTTAGTTTGGCTTCATATTCTCCCTCATTCATTCCTCTCCTTCCTCTTGGCAGCTAAAAGAGGCTTACATTTTGACTCATGAGGTTGGCCTGGAGGAGAGTTCACCACTGGTTCAGTGTTACCTATTACCGTGGTTCCCAGCCTTCTTGGCATGGTGGCCCACGAGGCCAAATTTATTTGGTATGGCAAAAAAAGAGCATGCAGGAATCAATAAAACTGCAAAATCCCAGGACCCACTTTTGGGCCAGGACCCACAGGTTGAGTAATGTTGATCTCTATCGGGCTTCATGGCTGAGGAAGGACTTGAATCCAGTTCTCACCATTCCAAGCGCAGCATTCTCTCTGCCCCTCCCCCCTGACTTCCCAAAGGATTCCTGGGGGTTGTAGTTGGAGAAGGCACTGAGAATTTTCTGCAAGAGGTTCCAAGGGGTTTTCCACACAGGGATGATTCTCCAGTGGTTTCTTGCTGCTGCTGCTGCTGCTTAAGCTCACCTGTGGCCGGGTTTTCTGTGCCCTGAGCTCTCCCTCCACCCTTTCTGCATGGCACTGCAACAGCTCTGCATTTTGTCTCTGGGGGGGTTTGAAAAGTCCTGGGTTCGCCACATGGAGGACTCGGACAACGACACGAGCTTGCACACGTTTATTGTTCTTCACACTGGAACTGAAAAACGGCCCTGCAAGGCCAACTATATACACACCCACCCAGCACACCCACAGTCCCGTTGGAGGGTGAACTTCCACATCAGAGGTCGATTCGGGGGGAATCGTGGGGGATCGCCGTTCCCCCGGGTGAGGTGCGGGGGGCGGGGCACATGACGAAGCCCCACCCCCTGCTTCCGGCCCTCATTCAGCCAGGAGGAGGCAGGAGAAGAGGGAGGGTAAGTTGCTTCCTCCCTGCCTCTCCCCACCCCTGCCTGCCTGGGGCCAGGGAGGGCCTTCGCGGGGCTTCCTCGCACTCCCACCGGCCTTGCAGGTCCACCGCCAGGCCCCTCATGGGGCTCGGCAGTGGAGCTGCAAGGCCGGCGGGGTGTGTGGCCTTATGACACACTTCCGGTTGTCGTTAGCGCAAATTGCACTTACCAAAAATGAATTCGCAAGACAGTCTCCTTCAGTCAAACAGCTTTATTTGAATACAGCTTGCAAGCGGCAGGTGTCCCTCACCGCCCAATAGGCACTGAGAGAACACGCCTGAATGAGGTCTGGGAGCTGATATTTATCCTGTCGCGGCGTGGTAAAAAAAATAAGAAACACCCTCTCCACCTCCCAGAACTGAGAGTCAGGAGTTACAACTTCCAATCACGATCGCCTAATCACTTCTGTTTTTTTATTAGACAAGCCCACTACTTTCCCAAAAAGGGCATAATTCCTTTATGCCAAACATGGTATTAACCTTCTTTATTCTTTCCTAACCTTTTCTTCATAACCCACAACAGCCCACCGCAAATATCTTGAGACACAGATATTCTCGTAAAGGGATGGTCTTCTTGTAAAGAATGGACTTGTCTTCTCGTAAATCTGGACTTTCAGACCGCAAGATGTCCCATTTCATCAGGCCTGTCTTGGGCCATCATCTCTGCAACAGACTTGTTTATCAGAGTCAAAAATGCCAGGTTCCTCATTTTAGGCCGGTTAGCATATACACTAAGAATATAAAAATATGCAAGATTAAACATTGCAAAGCTTCTGCCTATCTTTATGTTTCAACTGCCCAACTGTTAATCATTCCACTGGATAGCCAGGTATCTTAGGTGCTTTTCTTGTCACCCAGATTGCTGATTGTAGCCAGGTTCTTTGAGACTGCTACATTGACAGAGGTCCATCAGTAGCTATTAGCCACAAGATATATATATATGGGCTCTGGGGCAAGTGATGCTCTGTCTTCTTGGTGCTTGGGGGGGTTCAACAGTGGGAGGGCTTCTAATTGTCCTGGCCCCACTGGTGGACCTCCAGATGGCACCTGGTATTTCTGGCTACTGTGTGACACAGAATGTTGGGCTGGATGGGCCTTTGGCCTGATCCAACATTGGCATCTCTTATGTTCTTATGTTCTTATGACAGTTGTCTAGCAATACACTCTTAATTTCAATACACAGCAAGCAGGCAAGCTTACTATAAGTTTTAGAGTTAAAAAGATATAATCTATGTGAAATAGTTCTGCCGCATTGTCACTTCTGCTTTTTGCTAAATGTAGCATTTTGCAAGGTGAGTGGAGATGTTTGCGCAAGCTGACTGCTGCTATTTGGTTCGACCAACAGATGAACCCTGGGGCACCCAGAGGGTGCTTGAAGTCCAGCCTTTCGACCCATGCACTTTTCCAAACCGCAAGATATTTTACCTCTCTTCTGCTGAATTGTGATGTAAGAGCGAGAGGCTTGCTTCCTCTTTTTAGTTTCCTTTTATTTTGGTCTTACAATCAGGCCTTTAATAATTGATCTCAAGCAACTTCTTTCATTGTCCTTTTAAAGAGTATCTGAGCAGAAATCTTTACTTTATTTCATTTATAACACGGTGATGTCAGGGGGTGTGGCATATGCTATAGAGTTATGCTAATGAGTTCCCCTAGCTCTTTTTCTAGGAAACGACCCCTGATCCACATGCTTCTGACCTACAATCTGTTCTACTGTACCCCCGGTAAGGGAAAGGAGGGTGTCATAGCCCATGCCACTGAAAGCGTGTATTGAAGCTGAGCATGTCACCTACCCATCTGTGAAATGGAAGTGATAAAGAACATTTTGCAATAATAAAGGTGAATGAGAAATGAGAAGTTTTATGTACAATGAACTAGAACAGAGGACTCCAACCTTTTTGAGCCTGTGGGCACCTTTGGGATTCTGGCACAGCGCTGTGGGTGCCGCTCCGAAATGGCTGCCAGAAATGGCTGCCGCAAGAGGCAGAGAACCACTGACAAAATGGTGGCCGTTGCTTATCTTTAGTCTAGAGTTGCTGGGTCCATCCTGGCAACCAGCGGGGGATGGGGGGACTTACCAGGAGTGGGAGTGAGATCCCAGGTGAAGTCTCTGGTGACGTCACACCACTTCCGACGCACACTGGAAGTGATGTCATCACACTGGGCTGTCATGGCAATACTCTGGTATTTGGGCGAAAACACTATGTTAAAATGGCTTCTACCGTAGAATTTTTGCCCAGATACTG